ATGAAAGGTTTTTCTTTTCTTTTGAGCAATACACACTCAAGTGCTCAAAGTGCTTAAGAAACGGTATGAATTCTGTTGTCAGAATCCAAAATTCATATGATCTGTAATTGAGAAAGAAATGCCAGTTTGACTCAATATCAGATCTCATGCCATTAGAACGGATCGTTTGCAACCAAAACTGTACATTGTGTTGTTCATATTTTTCAAATGTAAAAATGCCAAAACATCAGCGCTGTCATTTCAGTTTCTTTGAGGAATAAGGGTGGTCTGTTCTGTTTTCCAAGAAAGATTTTTTTTTTTGTGAAGCAAAAGGTTAGAAATAATTGTATCATCTTATTTAGGCAAAAGGAAGATTGGGAATAACAGCCAACAGTCAAATGCAAAATTAATCTAAGGACACAAGGGAAACCCAAAGTGTTTTTGGGGTTGAGAACAATCTATCCAGTTGTTCTTGAAGCCGATATCTTGTCTTCTTTAAAAAAAACAGTTGGATAGATCCTCGGATCGATTAAATACTAGCCACCAAACAGACTAGATCTCCTCATTAGTAACCTTTCTTATGCTCTTGCAAAGGCGGCTGATATACAGATTACCTTCTGGTTGGAAATGCAGTATTGTGTATGCGTGTTAAACAAATACAGTACAGGTAAATTATTGTTAGAAGGTCCTCAGATGCTGTTTTATAAAGCTTTAAAATAGTGGTGTATGTATTATAGTCCTATACGTTGCCTATATTTGATAAATATTTAATCAATGATGAATAATCTCTCTGTATGCGGTCTTCTCTTCAGCCAAGTATCTACCTTTTGAAGTATCATAAAATAATGTAACACTTTGTAATTTTCTGTTTTTATGTGATAAAATTAGAAAGTGTATTGTGCTCAGTGCACCACAGACATTTCAGCTAAGGTTTGAAGTAGGTGACCAAAAGCAACAGTAAGCTTATAATTTGTACTTCTCCCTTACGTCACAGGTTTTTCCAATGCCTTTCACTTGCTGTTACTGTAACCTGTAGTAAAACACTGAAAAGGGTGAAACAGCTGTACAATTCTTGTTCCCTCATTGTTTTACTTGTATTTAATGTTCTTGTGACTTCTTTGTGGCTGTATAAGCACCCCTTCTGTTCAGGTTTTTCATACAGTAGAATAAGATAGGGCAAATTCTGAGGCTGCATGTTCCCATGGTTACTGCAGTCGGGCTTTGGTGCTGACCTTCTCTGTTGTCATGGTCAAATCTTTTGACCTTTTTGGGTCAGCCTTTGCTCTTGATGCATTAAACCTTGTCCTGGTTTCAACCTGTCGTATATTCGTGCTTTTACAGTATGGGTCCCTTGTTTTCAACCAAACAATGCAGATAATGTAGAATTGTCTTTTTAATTTAAAAGCTTTTGAAAATCTCACAAAATGTCTTTCTTGTAGACACCTGGCTGTTTAAAAGTATTATTACAAAATACAAGGAATTTCCAGAGAGAAGATGGGCTTCTGAGTCCTCTTGGGTTGTCAATACCCTCTTTGGGTGTTGAGCCCTGAGTAAACACTTGGATTTCAATATCTTGTTTACGAAAGCACGGCAAGCACTGGAATTCACAGGAAACCTTCATGGCATGTGGCACAGTGTACCCTTAACAGAAAGACAAATATTGTCTGTGAGTGGGCAGGACAGACGCAGTTCATCCTACTGTATCTAGTCCCCGATCTGAAGAAAGAAGTGCTTTAATGATGTGTAGCAAGCCATGATTTCTGCCAGTGTAAATATGTACAATTTGCAGTCTGTGTACTGTTTTTTAGCTGTGGATAAATATTTGTAATGTGCATAAATGCAGCCAAAATGTTTAAAGGAGTTTTTCTAGAGAACCCTAGAAGAAACAGTGTTCCTGTTTTGGATGATAGGCCAGTAGCTGCAGAGGCTAAAGGAGAAAGTCATGTGGTTGAGGTTCCTGGGGCTCCTCTTCCTGTGTTCTAAACAGGTCTCAGTGCAAGTGAGGCTCTTTCGCTGACATTGTTAATTTTTTTGTCAGTTTCTCATATTGGAAAAACCATTTTAGAAAAATGAAAAAGCTCTTCAGCTTTAGTCTGTCAATGCTATTTCTGTATCAGCAATTTGGAATATTGAACAAATTATAGCATGGCTGTGAATTGTGCCAACATTCCCATGTGTATAGTCCATGGGGAAAAATAAAAGTAAAAGAATATTTGGTTTCTTATCCAAATGGCTTGGCAGCAGGTAATGTACTATCAGTTTCCATTGCAGTCAAATCAGCTTGAATAAAAACTTTATATTTAAAAATGAAATGTAAAAGGCTGTCTGGATTAAACTGGTTATGAAATAATCGCAAAACGTTAGTCGAGCAGGAAAACGTTTGGTAAGGCAATGAATTTAGAATGAAATATGGTTTTTCAAAAACGACTTGGCAGTTTGAGATTTGAGTTCTTCAGAACCCTGAAACCACAAATGTAAAAAACAAATACTACAGTAGCTGTATGTGGGCCACGTAGATGGCTTAAACTGTATTTTGTCCATCTCGGGTAATTGGTTTCATAAACCCTGATCTTGAATTCTGACTTCATGAAATCTAGCAAAATGAAGGGAAATGTCTGGAACTTGTGGAGGTGTCATACTGCCAGAATCTGTTCCTTTTTTCTAGCATTCTTTCTTTGTTAAATAGGCTGTAAAACAGTGGATGGCTTTGTTTCTCCGCACAAAAAAACTTTTCTGTTTTTCATTATACTAAGCAGCCAAGCCTCGTTTCCCTCTGGCTGTGCACCAGTACTTAATAACAGTTCATGGCAGTGAAGCCTTGTGGCTCTTCTCTCATGAACGAATAATAGGTTTACTGCAGAGGCTGGCTCCATAGATAATAAAGAAAAAGATGCCGATCCAAGGAGCTGTGCATAGCACTTAAAATGGCTGAAATCAGATTAACATTAATGTGAGCCACCGGGTTTCTGGTTTTCATTTGTTTTAAGTTGGCTCATTTGGTTACTGTGAAGCCTAGTCAAAAGCGGAAGGGAAATTAGTAGCTTATTACTTTTCCAAATCTTTGTAGGTGGGGTGGTGGTAAATCTTTGGGGAGAGAAGGATAGCCGGGATCGAGATCATATTGGCTGCCTCCATTTCCATTTTTTTTAAATATTTTTTTATTTTTCTGCTACAGCACTCTCTGCCTTTTCCATTACAACCTCCAGGTCCCATATGGATCCAGTGGCAGGGTTCAGTAATTGAACTGGGTTGGAGAAGTAGAGTACTGGGGAATGGGTTTTATAGAAGAAACATTGATTGCTTGTAATGGAAGTCTTTTTAAGAACTGCTTTACAGGCTGCATTAGGCTTACAGTCCTGCTAGCTTTCATTCTTTTATTTTTTTTCTTTCCATTATTTCTTGTTTTAAGATCAGAAAGGGAGCTATTCTACTTTGGTGCAATACACAGTTTCTTCATTCGAGATTTTGATAAAAGACTACACAGCAACATTTGTTAATAGTATCCTGAGATTTGTTTGGCATTGTATTTTTAACAAGCCATTTACTGTGATATTCTTTTCTCGTTAAGTAAAAGAAATCTTTTTTTTCCCCTCTCCGTTCTATAATGTTTTTGAAACCATGAAGGTTATTTGTCATCATTTTAGTTGTACAAACATTCTGGGAAACCTTTCTGAGGTATATCATAAAACCATTTTGCTGTCATGACTAAGACCTTAATTTATTAACTGACATCAACAAGAGCAAAAATAATCATAGATTCAATTCATAATATTTCCATGGAGTTTAAGATTCCACCAAACAAACACTTTTGGATCACCTTTTACTGGGTCAGGAGCAGTTGAGGTGAGGAGCATAGTAAACTCAACAAAATGTATGGAACTAGGAATAACTGCACATATATACTGCACCACACTTTAAATTATTAAAGACACTAACCCCTTTAAGATTAAAGATGGATATTAAGAGATTTTAGCAGTAAAGAGAACAGATTAAACCTAGGGATAGAGCTAGGGGAGTGGCTTATGGGATCTATAGTTATCTAAACATTTGCATCAGGTGTCCCCATGACCACCTCAGAGCAAAGGTCAAATGCTTTTATAATTATCCTGTGTTAATTCAAAAGCAGCAAATAATGACACACAGCCTGTACTTTGGGTCTGCTAATATCCCCCTCTCTAGCGTTCTGCAAGTGGGCCCTGAACGGTGTCATCATAATCTCATAATGTGTTGCGTGACAGCGATGGTAAAGTGATATTGAACCATTCGTAGTCAGAGTGAAAAACTTTAGTTAAGGGTTTACAATGAATTCCTTCAAAAAGGGTGTGAGTAACCAGTTCATCCACCAGTAACGAGTATCCCATTACACCCTAATAGGAAACAACATGAATTTGTTACGATTTCCCAACAACAGGAGAATCCTATGGCTTCCAGCTGAACTGATGGCTGTTTCTGAGATTGCTCGTCTTTTGTGTGCACTTCAAATGATATGCAAGTGATATTTTGTCATTGCTATGTAGCCAGGGGAACGTGATTAAGGTACAACTTTTGAAACGCAACTGCTGAAAGAGAGAACCCATTCTGGAATGTGAGATGAGTAACAGCTGGCTATAAACCTGGGATCCAGGATCTCGCAAACAGGAATTTTAAGTAATCACCTTTGTCAGTGGGGTTTTTTCCCCCACAGGACGTCAACATGGAAATAGTAGAGCATAAGCTAAAAATACATAGTTCCACAAAAATATGTTTTTTTCAGTAAACATGTATTTCTTTTTTAAGCTGCAGTTGAAAACCAAAAAACAGTACCACACCCTTTTTCTGAAACACTGGTGATTGTACAGTATGAACCTTGTCAGGCCAAGGTCAGTATTTCAGTCGCAGTAGCCCTGGGATAAATCTTCCCCTTTGGAAAAGTGTATTGTATAAAATACCGCATTACATACCTTCATTGCATTTTAGTTCTGAGGAATGACTTTCCAGGTTCTGCATCTCTATATAAATGAAATCATGGGTTTTTCTTTCAGATGGGTGGAAGATGGACCAGCAGAGAGACAATCTGACACAGTCCGCTGAGTCTGGACAGCAGAGGACAAGGATAGGTGAGGACCACTGTTACTCATCAAACACTAAGGCTCTATGAGCAACCAAGAGAAAAAATAAGTGTCTTGTATGAAGAACATTTTATGGAGCACAAATAACATTTTAAGTGGGGGTAAAAACACACTTTGTGAATTTAATATCAGCCAGTGAACTCTGAAAGTCTTTCAACGTTGGTTTTGGCCTCAATTATATTTACTTAAAATGATTTAGATTTGCCACAACATCTAAAGCAGGTTTGAATATGGATGCAATTATGACTTTTCTATTTTTCTTTCATGTTATGTTTACTTCTTTCGTTTTTGGTTTTGGTGAAGTAGATTGTGTATGTAAAATATATACATTTATGCTTCCAAGTGTTGTGACGGCAACGGTCAAAATGACCACAAAACCTCTCTGAGGGCCTGAACTTTTGCAAGACACTGAAGGTAAATGTGTTTGTTCTTAGTTTATTGTGTCTTCAGATCTTTGTATTTACAAATACCTGTTGAAAAGGCTTTGGGATTCAAGTGTTCCCAAATCATGACTTTAAAAACAATATTTAAGAAAGTGTGTTACCGCCTTTGTTGCACAATAGATTTAAAACATTTTAAAGAATGAAACAGGACCATATATCATACATGAAATTCAAATTTCAACTGAGTGGCCTTCACCAGTTTGTCATGTATCCTGTTGGTTTTATAGGTTTTTGTTATACTGTGCTTAATATTATTGATCATTGAAGAAAAAAAGAGTCACCTTTATCAGCCATATTTTCCATACTGGAAGCAATGTTTTTGTACATTTGTTTACAGTGCAGAAAATATTGTTCATGCCATTTACCTGCTTTGTTTAGACAAAAAAGTGCTGTGATTTGTGCCATAAAACAAAAATTGCACCGTTTGATGAGAAACTGTGGATGATGTTATACCTGTTACGAAGGCGAAGGAGTGAATGTTTCAGAATTATTTTTAGAGAGTTTTTAAATTCTTTGCCTCAGATGTTCTACAGAAAATATCTTCAACTGTTAAAGTAACTGTAGATTAAGTAACAAATCATCAATTTATTTGATTAGATTCCTTTTTTTGTTCCTAACTTTGCTGCATGTTCCCCTATAGTTATTATTCAGATTTGGTGTGATATGTGATCTTGACCACCTATGATAGCTGCTTGCAGATGTAAACTGATTGCAAAAAGTTTTATGTAGTGTCTACTAGAGAAAATCTGATAGTGTTAAATCAAGGTCACAGGATGGATTTTAAGATGTTTTCTGTCCTAATTGTGTTAAAAGTGCAAACTGTGTGGCCTTTTTTTCAGAAGACAATAAGGAGTTTAGATAACTCTGAGAATGTATTTAAATTGTGGTAGTCAGAAATGACAAATGATGTCCTGTTGTATAACTATGGTCACTGCTCCCGAGTTCATAGCCTGGTCTGTGGGCTGTGCCACATTAACTAGACTGTTATTACTGAATACTTGGGGTAGGAATCTAATTAAGTTGTTAACATTTGGGAATTTATTGCAAAGTTATCTTTTTAATTTAAAAGATTTTATAGATTTTGGGCAGAGTCTGTAGATCTGATCTGCTTCATATTCCAGTTTGGGTTTAGAATATTCCAAGGCTGGTGCACATACAGGGCTGTAATTATATTTTTGTGTGTGTTTGCAGATTGTTTTATTTTCACTTTTAAAATGGCTGTATTCACTCGCTTAACTACCATGTATTTGTTTAGTGAGCAGAGTTAATTAAAGAAGTAAGAGCACATAATTACAAAGATAGGGAAGGATAAAATTAATGTTTTTGAATAGTGCTTTGTGAAATCCAGCAGTGTAACCCAGGGAAATGTTTTTTTTAAATAGTAGTACTGTGTGTCAAGGGAAACCTTTGAATATCAGTTATGAAAACAGATATTTGAAATTCTTTCATACTGTTTTTTAATGGCTGCCCCATGTACTAGCGAACTACTGTACATCAGCAACCAACAGGTATGTTAATGGAATCATCTTTATTCTTCACCAATGCTAAAGGCCAGCTGTGTTCATTTTAGAAGTAGATTTTGACAAGACTTACTAATGATTCACAAAACAGGTCTAGCACTGGCCTTTACTGAAAGCCAGTTATGTTAGTTAAAACTCTAGTATTGCCTGGCATCCTAAATATTCAAGTCTAAATGTCTTCCATCTGTTGATGTTTATAGCCAGAAGAATTTTTGCAAGAGATTTTGTGGAAACTACCTTGCAGCACAGATGAGTTTGTGTAGTGTACTGTAGCTGCTTAAATATGCAGGGAGCCAAAATGTCAGAGACAATCTGATCTGAAAGAAAAATGCTCTTGAATATATTCATGATTCCAGAGATGCCGAGTTAATGCAGCTTGTGCTGATATTATCAGGGTGGCAAGGTAACATAATACCCTTTCCTTCTTTGTTCCAGTGGGCGAGTTCTACACGCACAGTGCTCAGAGAAGAGGGACTGGTGGTGGAGCTTCCCAGCTCTCCGAGTTGGGTGCAGGCCCCCCTTTTGGCCCAGAAGATGTGCTGCGAATGAGCTTGGCTAAAGGGGTGTCCATGTCCCTGCCCTCTTCGCCTCTGTTACCCCGGCAGTCTTACATGATACACCCGCGCTCCAGCAAAAGATCTCCAGGTACAGTTCCTCGGCTCTTTCCCTCCAGCTCTTTTAAAATCTGTTTTTACAGTATCTATCCATTCATTCAGTCTCTAAATGCTTTATCCAATTCAGGGTCAGAGGGCAGTCAGAGCCCAATTACCGAGCCTATCCTGGTAAGCAATGGGCCTTTGGCAGGATATACCCTGGATGGGACGCCAGTCCATGTCACAGGACACACACGGGCACAAACACGCACACACACCAGGGCCAAGTTTCCCAATCAACTCAAAAACATTCCCAGAGTATAAGAAAGTTCACCTGAACATTCCTAGAAGCTTCAGGAGAGGTGCTTACATACTGTAGTCATTGATGGTCAATGTTTTATTGTTATTTTGCTCACATATTCTTTATGTGATAAAAAGCATCAAATGTCAAAAGACATTCTTTTCTCTGACTTCTGACTAGTTAGCTTGGTGAAAGACTTAAATCCATTGACTTCTGATCATGCTGCAGCTTCTGGGATGGCTATGTTAGTTAAGAGACAAACCTGAAATGTTTCAGGATAGAAATTGCAAAAGCTTCATGTTGCTTTGAAAAATGTACAAGTAGTGAAAATATAATCATCTGTCCAGTACGGGTATAGCCATATACACAATAAAAGGTTCAGTAATTGTATACCACTACATTACTTTCTTCCCTCTCACTTCGGAATTCATTTTGTGTAGAGATGCAGTTCTGTGAAGATTTGAAAGAAGTTTGTTTTGTTACAGAGAGGCCTCCCAGAGATCAGACTGACAGAGTGGTTTTCTCCCTATCTGATCTGCTTACCTTTGTGTAGAAGCACCCTTTTAAACTTGAAACCATCTTCTCTAAATACCTTAGATGGCTTTGGGAAAAACACATCGTTTGAGGATCAATATTTTTAGAGTTAATCTTTTCATCCTTCCTACAGACTTCTGTATCTATATTAAGATAATGTATCATGATCATTGGCAGATAACATTTCACTGACATTTCAACATTGTATTTCTGTTATTGTGCATTGATATTGATTATTAGTATGACACTATTAGCCGCAAATGAGCATGTATAAACAACATTTGACCCAGAAGATTTATTTTTTGATGCTGTGAACACTGCTTCCAACAGCTGTGTTGTCTTGAAAGCCCCGGACAGTTATATTTGAGCTTCCTTCAGTTTGAATCTTTGCTTTCTGAAGAGGTAGCAAAAAGGAGTAAAATCATTAAAACGGTCACTCTTGCCAGTTGTCAAAACGGACACGTTTTGGGAAAAGGCTTACATAGCATAACAAACCTTCCTTTTTAATCTGTATTTAAGATGTAAGGTTTAGAAGCAGACTTGGGGTCAGTCCTAAAATTACAATTCCAGCAGCAGAGTAAGTTGAATTTACAATTGCAGGCATATTGCGCTCATTTATAATTACAGCTGTGCTGCATTTATTTCAGAAGAAACTATTGTAAAAAGCATCCGGTGCTCACATTATGCTAACGCTCAAGTCCCTTCCCAGGTGTGGCTGGCTTGGGTGGTCAGTACGCCATGTAGTAGATTTTAGGGCTCGTGAGTCTTTTGCACATTTTAACGCAGTGACGCAACAGAAGAATGTGGAGTGATGACATCAGCTCAGACCTTTTAAAGGTAGCAGATCATCACTGCAGATACAAAAGAAATGTCATGCGCATCCCGCACATAAAGAGTTGGAGAAATCAACCGCTCCTGCAGTGAGCTGATCTCTCTCACTATAAAAGAGAGCCAGAATGGACAAAGCATGTCCAACTGCCAAAAGAGTTTTGAACAATGATCTGTAAGGTCTTGGGTGGGACAAACAAATAACTACTATGAGAATTGAAAACCTCTTGGTTATATGACGTACAGGAATACATCGTGCTGATGGTTGTGGGGTCCGACTTTCATTTAGCCCCAACCTCAAGTCAGACTGGATCTGCCAGTGAATTGTTAGGCCTTAAAAAGAAAATACCAGTATGAAGAGCTTATTACTTTTCTAAGGAGAAGGGTGAAGTCTCATAAGTACAGTCAGGGAAAATACATCAATCCAACGGTTATTGTGTCTGAGAGTCTAAAGGCTAAGGTTTAGTGTAGACTTCAAGCCAAATGGCATCCGCTGCTTACGCTTATATAGCGCTTTTCTGGACACTCCCCTCAAAGCGCTTTGCAGGTAATGGGGACTCCCCTCCACCACCACCAATGTGCAGCCCCACCTGGATGATACGACAGCAGCCGTAGTGCGCCAGAACGCTCACCACACACTAGCTCTTCTTGAGTAGGAGACAGAGTAATGAAGCCAACTCATTAGGTGGGGATTATAAGGAGACCATGATTGGTAAGGGCCAATGGGAAATTTAGCCAGGACGCCTATTCTTTTCTAGAAACGCCCTGGGATTTTTAATGACCACAGGGAGTCGGGACCTACGTCTCCTCCGAAGGATGGCACCTTTTTACAGTATAGTGTCCCCGTCACTATACTGGGGCATTAGGACCCACATAGACCGCAGGGTGAGCGCCCCCTGCTGGCCCCACTAACACCGCTTTCAGCAGCAACCTTAGTTTTTTCTAGGAGGTCTCCCATCCAGGTACTGACTAGACTCACACCTGAGCTTCAGTGGGCTGTCAGTTGTGAGTTGCAGGGTGATATGGCTGCTGGCACATTCACACATTTTGACTCTGTCTCTGACTTGTGTAACTTCGAATGTTTTTTTGATCTCACCTTTGCCATAAATGTTGTTGCTGGGTGGAGGGGGGGCAAAATATAAATATGGTAGTTTTGACCCATCTGCAGTAGTCCTGTGCCTCTTTATACTAATTAAGCGAGCAGTAACCTCAGGGATCTCTTCATACTAATTATCAATAGACACTTCATTCTGAAGCTCCATAGTCTTTTCCTGAACTCAAATCCTACCCCTTTCTTAAGCCTTAACATTAGTGCTAACCTTTACCTTTATCCGAACCCTAATCTTGTATCATCATCCCTCATTTGCACTTAATTCACTTTAACTACCTATGTAATCATTTATTTAATACTTGACTGACTAAGGCAGCAGTGAGCACTGGTGAGTAGGATTCAACTGGAAGGCTGATTTTCAAATCCCAGCTAGGGCACCTTGTTCTGCCCTTGAGTAAGGTACAGTACTTTATTGATATTGCTTCAGTAAAATGGCCAGCTACTATATATAACAGAGTATAAATGGAAGTCACTTAGGATAAAAGAGTCAGCCAAACAAATTATTAAACGTTACTCTCATAACTTTAGACTTAACAATGACCTTACTAGTAAGTATAACCCTAAAACTTGCTCCAGGCTTGTGAATGAGACCCCGCCATTGGTCTTGAAATGAACTTAATTAAATTAAAGTTATAAGATAACCTTTAATAAATAAAATAAAAGTTTTATTTTTCCTTCATTATGTTTAAAAAACACTTAGTAGGAAGTGTCCTATTCTTATAAATTAGAAACAAAGTTTTTAGTGCATACATTTTAATATTGGATCCTTTTCAGTGACCTCTTACAGCACTGCTTATACAGTGGCTATGAAAAGTATTCATCCCCCTCTTTTTCATGTTTTTTGTGTTACAATTTGAAAACATAATGAGACAGATTTGTTCTTTGTTTTCACTTTGAGATTATTATTGCAATGATCAATGGCAAAAACCCCAATTACATTATATTGTACGACAATAAAATGTGAAGAACTCCAGGGTTGGTGAATACTTTGGATAGCCGTTGTATATTGTTCATGTAATATCCAGATTCTTTTAATTAGAATAGACCTACATGTAATATTTTTCTCCCCAAATAAATATTTTTCTCTGGTGTTTGGGGAGGAAAAACATTTTTATTTAAAACCACCAAATAATAAGAATTCCTTACATTTATATAGTGCTTTTCTGGACACTCCACTCAAAGCTCTTTACAGGCAAGGGGGACTTCCCTCCATCACCACCAATGTGCAGGATCCACCTGGATGATGGAGGACAGAGTGACGAAGCCAAATACATAGATGGGGATTATGAGGAGGCCATGATTGATAAAGGCCAATGGGAAACTTGACCAGGTTGCTGGGGTGACACCCCTACTCTTTTCAAGAAATGCTCTGAGATTTTTAATGAGCAGAGAGAGTTAGGGCCTCAGTTTTATATCTCGTCCGAAGGAAGGCACCTTTTTTCCCCACTTTTTCTATCAATATAAAGAAGCCCAAAACAAATCTGAGTGTTTGTGTCTTCAATTGCAATGAGTCCAGCAGTGTTGATCACCTTGGATGTTATCTACTGATAATGAATTTATCTATAACACCCTGTAAAAATCAGACTAATTTATACAAGCGAAGACATCATAGAATAGACAATAAATGCTGGTTGAGCAAGACTGCAGGCTCACACCTAGCAAACACATACACACTTTCCCATATCTCTCTGAATTGTAATTTGCATTACAATTAGAGGCCTTTAAACCATTAGACTTAACTACGATGGAGTAGATCTGAACACTAAAGTGAGAGTGAATAATTCTGTGGAGGAGGAAGCATTTGTGCAGACAGGGATCTGCAGTAGTTGTTTGAGGTAGGTGTTCCAGTAAGAGGGTGAAAGGTGGAGTACTGGTAAACAAAAGATGTGAAATGGGAGTGTGGGGTAAGGATTGTCTGGGCTGAAAGAGGTGTTGGGATAAAAAGGGAGTGTGGGCTTTTAGTGGAGCTTAATGTAGATAAGAAAAGGAAATTGCTTATCATTTCAAAAAGAAACCCACAGCCGGAGAGAGTGAATGGGTTTGGTTTCAAATGCTTGTCTGCTGTTGAAAGAGAATATCATTAGTGGGAGAATTATGTGGACGTAATAAGTATAGCTCTGTGCTTAACAAAAACAACATAATTTTATTCTGAAAAATGTTGTGGCGGGAACGAATGGCTGGCATCCAGCTCCACAAAAAGAAATCTGGAACCACAGTTTCTAAAGTCAGAGTAGAGGGAAGACACTCAAATGCTGATCCCACTGAAAAGGCAAAGACG